GCGTCCTTGGGCCTACGAGAAAAACGCCTCCACTCGACACGCACCTGAGCACCTGAGCACCTGAGGTGTGCTTCTGTTTGCTTTGCACTCAGGTCAATGTACACGGTGGGCATGTACAAGTGCAGGCTGTCGTAAGCTACGAGACTATAAGATAGTTCTAGGGATTAATCTGGTTACTCTTGGTGAAGGTCTGGGCTTACTCGTATATCGCTGCATGCATGTCTCGGATTGAAGTGCGAGCTTACTTTGTTATAAAACCTTAGAGTGACATGTGCATGCCACACGGATTTTTCTGTTGGATCACACATTGAAGTATTATGAAAATTGCTATTTTTATACCTCACCCAAAAAAGTGCCAATTTGTTTTATAATACTTAACCGAATCGAATCGAATCGAATGGAATCTCCTCACCAAACGTGAAATACATTGGCCGTTTTACCGTTTTGTATGGGACTCACCTTGAGCATTTTTAATGACTTCTTTTATTCAGAGTATCAACAGAATGAGTGGGCTCTGGATACGAATATACTCGTATATGTACAAACTGATATATATGACAGCACACTTTGACTTGTGTACACCGATTGCTCTTGCATTGTAAATTACTGTATTGAAATATTCATAAGCAGCAAGCCGTTACAAATTGTGTGGCAAGTCAAGTAAAAGCAATACTTTAAACATGCGACAGGTACAACAAATTGCGCTTCCCACTAATGGTGACCTTTAACGCTTCTAATATACAAATTTTGAAAGGTTCGGTGCAGTACTAGCTATATAATATATTTATCCGAACAAAGGTATACAATTCCTCTACTGGGCAGAATTTAAACTACTAAAATGTTATTTTAGTTTTAATATTTTTGTATCCATTGCAGTGGCAGTCATGTACCAAGAGCATGGCCTATTTGTTTTATCGCTGGTTCATGGCCGTGTTCTTCGTGGTCGTGGTAATAATCTCAATGTGGCCAGAAGCAGACGACGAAAGCAGTTACTGGCTCTACTTTATCTACATGACCAACTGGGGCATCTGGATGTGCATGTTGACGAACGTCTTGGGAGCTGTTCTAGTCACTATATGGCACTATCATCCAGAATATGCGGGTGAGTTTGACATGGCCATTTGACAATTTTATAGGAACCAAAGAGTGTGCTGATATACATGGTCTTACATTCCCCAGATAAGCTGTTGAGTATGAGGAGCTCCTTTAGCTTTTTTAGATTGTACTGGGGTATGCACATCATATCTTTGGTCTTGTCCATCGTCATCACCATCATCTACTGGAGTATTCTATACGATGGTGAGTTGTTCTTGCACCAAGTTCCCATTTATCATTGACTGGTTTTCCCTTCCTTTAGCTAACGAAAGCGCTTTGGACGCCACGAATGTACTCACTCATGCATTCAACTCGATTTGCATGTTCATCGATCTGTGGATTGTAGCCCATCCTCTGCGGTTGCTGCATATATTTCTGCCCGTGGTATTTGGAGTTGTGTTTGCCATCTTTTCCTATATCTACCATTTGTGCGGTGGCATTAATAAGTGCGTTTAACATTTCAAACCGCAACAAATGAGCTCTTATTTTAAGATACGACATTCTCCATATACTTGCAGGAAAGGAAAGCCTTATATCTACCATGTCATTGACTGGAGCAAACCTCAGAACGCCTTCATCACGGTCGTTGGCGTACTTATTTTGTCTTGTTTCATTTATGTGCTGCTTTTTGCCTTCTTCAAGCTGAGATTATTCCTCCATCGACGCTGTAGAAATGCTAATTTCGTACTGCCCACCAGTGCGAAATCAAATGGGCAAGCTAATGGACTAGATGACAAATCCGGAAATGGAATACAGCACTCACCATCTCGCATATCAATGGTACTGGGCAATTTCGCTGGCTATGAGAACCAGGCTTATTTGCCCACTGGCGAAGTGTCAAATAAAAGCTAATAGTTCAGTGCACAATTAGTCGGTAGTATTAGTCAAATCAACTTGTAGAATTTATGACCAGTGATATTATATTATATTGTTTTGTGTTAAGTAAATAAATTCGTTCTCTGGATTATTGTTGCTTAACGGCATTTGAACGCAAAACACGGTCTATGTCCTTCGGGGGAATCAATATTTATACTTCAACAAAAAACATGCTCAAGAATTCTGATCAAAAATTCAAATAGTGCAGAGTTCGAGCAGGAAAGCATGAATCTACCCAATAGCCTTCGGGTTTTTCAATTCGTTTGACACGCCCGCCTTTGGGAACTTCACAGTTGATAATTAAGAATTTATATCTGACCATATCAGGATGGCTCGCGGTACATGTGCACCAAGAAAAATTCGAGGCCAATTAGCCTTTCAGTGCGGCTGAGTAAGAGATGTGTAAATATTTTACTCAAGCTCCTAATCACAATTGAATGGCCGCATTAGCCCAATTAGGCCCTGAAGGACATTGTTAGTAAGCCGTCAAGGACTGAAGTAGTTCTGATAGTGGGGCATCTATTAATAAGTGCTCGCAAGTGCCAAGAGATTTTCATTGCTTGTTTCATCTAACTATATAAATAGATAAAATGTTCGCCTTATGAAACTGCCATTAAATCAATTTTAAAGAACCCTTTCTTTTTAAACAAAATCAGTTGTACCTATTTTGGGACTCGAATGTTAATTATGAAAAAGGTATATTATTTAATATGACGTACTGACATATCATCATTGGAAATAATTATTTAATTCAATTTAGGTTGTATGTGTCAGACATTTTTATTCGCCTTATGAAACTGCCATTAAATCAATTTAAAAGAACCCTTTCTTTTTAAACAAAATCAGTTGTACCTATTTGGGACTCGAATGTTAATTATGAAAAAGGTATATTATTTAATATGACGTACTGGCATATCATCATTGGAAATAATTATTTAATTCAATTTATGGTTGTATGTGTCAGACATTTTTATTCGCCTTATGAAACTTCCATTAAATCAATTTAAAAGAACCCCTTCTTTTGAAACAAAATCAGTATCTATTTTGGGACTCGAATGTTAATTATGAAAAAGGTATCATTGGAAATAATTATTTAATTCAATTTATGGTTGTATGTGTCATACATTTTTATTAGACCATCCTCAAATAGTTTTTTGGATTGCAGCAGTAATTCGATTGAAGGTATTTTCATAATTTCTCATCCTTTCAACGCACTTTACGCCAACAAAGGGGCTCCTTAGCCAGTGTCCTTAATCACAGATGTTCGGTTCGAGTTGCTTAACCCTAAGTTGGCCGCCCCGTCTGCCACTGTGTACACACGTTGGCCAAAACGCGTAGCCTTAATTAAGCCTGAAAAGGGGATTTAATAGCCAAAGGACCCGCCCAGAGGGCCCAAGGACGAGCAAGGGACACGAGCTGCGGCTGTTCCCCTGTTCCCCTGTTCCCCCTCCCCTGTTCCACCGCTGTGTTCACTGGTGGCCACTGGTGGTCATTGCCAGGATTTGCCTTACGCATAAGCTGGAAAAGCAAACCCAGGACTGCTGGTCAGGTGTGTGGGTTCAATGTCAATTGCTGGGTTGGCTGGTGGTTCGTTTTGGTCAATTCGGCTGTTGTTATCTTTGTTGTTGCCGTCCTTGTGTCGACGGCACATGACATGTCACAAATTCCAACAAATTAGGCGTCGCATCTGTGGTTGTCCATGGATCGATATGACACCAATTTGATCGATATGAAGTTTCCTTGAGCTTTGAACTTCTTTGAGTGTCCTTGACGGGCCTATTCCTGTTCCCACCTGTTCCCTCGCCCAGTGTCCACTTCATAAGACCTCCAGCGTATCCAATCAAATTTTAATCGAACACATTTTGGAAACATTGACAGCTGTCCACACATTGCGTCTAGTCCTCCCCCAAAAAAACGAGGTATCATTGAACTGCAACCAGAAGTGAGCTAAATAATTAACGCCAATTAATAGTGTGAAATATTAATTGAAGGCACGCCCACTGCACAACACACAGCCCAGTGTTCCAATTCCCATCTACTGTATAAGGAATACAACCCTATGTTACCTCTCCCCCTGCCCCTCTGAATCAGTTATCAATTTGGGGCTCTTGTCACTGGGGGTCGCCATGACTGCGCCATTTCTCTGCCATCGAAGTCATGAAAGTGATTCACAATGAACATACTCGTAGCTTGTGGCAGACTCATGATGGGCGAACCCTTTTTCGGAAAGTACCAAAGGACATTCTTGTAGGGCTAGTTTTATCATGTCTGCCAATTAAATTAAATTTTGATTAGTTGTTTACTAATAATTAATAATAATAAAAATAATAATTATTATTAATAATTAAGGTATAAAGTTCTCACGAGGAAGCAATTCCCTAACTTATCTAAAATATAAAAACTATTAAAGCCTAGTACCAAACGCTTTATATATCTGAATTGTGATACGCCAGCTAAGTAATAGGATAAATCGATAGGATAAAACTAAAATCTTGCGAGGCTTATAATATATATATTACCAGTAACTATTTTGTTGAACCACATGAACGGGTATATAGCCTCTTGACTTGAACAGCTGCAAGTCGAAGGATTTATTTACACCTATGTCCTATGGAAACGGAAGGCTTACCGCCAACAACAAGCGGCAGCACGGAAAGCAAAACAAAAGCCGGGAAAATGTTTTAAAAACCATGCCACATACGCGAGAGCCCACACACATGTGTGTAATGGAACGCACTGCTGCTCCCAGGACACAGGACACAGGACACTTTGTTTGGAGCGCATAAACAAATGGCGCCCCATGAATGACACGGACATGTGAGGTGGATTTCAGATGGGGGCACTGAGGTGGTCTAAGGTCGTGCGTGAGACTTCCAATGGGCCAGCACAAGGAAATCCCGACCACCCACGCCAAACTGGAACTGCACTGGGGGTTCGAAACTGCTGGAACCGCTGCTCATAAAGTATTCATTAATTGGAATAGTGACCAGGGGAACCGGGCTCGTACAGCTAAAAACCGAGTCAGTTGTCAATTCTGAAACTCAGTTTCGTTTCGGACGTTCGTCGAGGTGTACGTGCTCGGTTTGTTGAACCGTTGAACTGTTGAACTGCTGAACTGTGGCACACCGTGCAGCACTCGGCAATCGAAAATCGGAAACCAAATCGGCCGAGTTCGCGGCTAATGCAGGAATCAAAACACCAAAACCGGCAACGTCATGTAGTTCGTTGTGGTGCGTGCTGCCGACGATAAAGCGCGAGAACAAGTATCCCAGAGATACCAATAATAAATGTACACATATTTATAATATACATCGGGCGAGTACCACACACGGTAGTCATGGACAGACGCAGTTACAGAGTGCAAAACTTTTGTGGAATTCTAAAAATTTCCATTGAGAACTGCTCCTGAATAGCACGCTACTACTACTTTTTATTTTTAACGAGAGATAATCATTTTAAAGTAGAAAGTGAGTGGGCTCGATTGTGTGGGTGGGGTGTGTGCGGTAGGGAAAACACTATTGCGAAAATTCAGCTATACTGGCCACCGAATGGATAATGGGTATTTGTTTAGACACAGGTGAGTAATGCCACATGCAGCAGATTTGTAATCAAAGATTAGCACTGCCTCTCCACGGCCAAAGATAACAAAAAGAACCCTAATGAGTCGCGCAGGCGAACACGACAGGTGAAACACAGTATAGAAACTTCGTGGGTCCTTGTGACCACGAATTTTCAATAACAATGGGCAATGGGTCCCTTTAGCTGATCGCTGGAAACTATGAGCTACTTTGTAGCATACTTTTGGGATACCGTCTACACCATCTTTGTACCTTACCTATGGTTTACGTATGTGTACATAAATTTGTAACAAAGCTAAAATATATTTAAAAACAATGTAAGAACTTAAATATAAATGAGCAAGGCAGTCTACATTTTGGAACCCCATGTCAGACGTAACTCTTTTTTGTTTTTCGCCCCGGTGACACATATAATTGAGCACAATTCAAGAGACAGGTACAATTGAAATTACTGCAATCACTTTGCTTCAAATTTATTGAAAGAAAAAACAATTATCTGTGACAAAACGCTGCTTTTATATGTGTATACATAGCGTTATATCAAAATCGAGACCTTGCCCAACGCTATAATTTGTATCGGAACTTGGACTCTTTGGCCTCCATGGCTGCCAGGTCCTTGGACATGTTCGTTGACCACCGAAGCTAGTACACATAAATCCTGAAACTAGCGTCACTCACAAAAAAAAACAACAAAAGCAGCACGATAGAAAAGGGAAATCCCCGAGACGAAAAGGGATAGCAACAATAACAAAACATGTCAATTAAATAAAACTGCAGGAAAATCAATAAAAATGTCACAAGACCGAACTGGTTCCGCGGTTGGGAAAACGTGAAAATTCAATGGGGAAATTTAGAGCGGTATGGGTAGGATATTGAATGCTTTGGAATCGCTATGCCGCAGCTGATTTTCCATGAATGAATTCAGCGGTGACGCCATTCTATACTAAGCACGGTTGCCATACAATTAAATAATTGTTAAACATGTTTTAATAATGGGCTTTGCGATTTGTTTAGCTCCCTGGCTCCAAGCCGCCCATCGAGTGCGTGTGCTTTCTGTCACTAATTTCCTACTCCTGGCAAATTGCTTCCGGCCTCGGTGAAGGCTGGCTAATGGCTAATGCCAACTTGGCACGTTATGTCTGCCCTTGCCTTTTTCCGGTCCCCGGTTTCCTTTCGCTAACTTGCCAACACATCCGGTTTCCGGTTGAAAAATTTCTGCGCTTTTGCCGCAGTCAACTGTTGCTTCTACTTGGACTTAAAGCAGTCCTTTATATAACAAATTATATAACAAATGATGTGTTTCTCGTAACTTTATGTGGGATAACACTCGAAGCATAGGTAGATTAGGTAACTCTACTTCCCCACAAAAGCTTAAGAAAGATACAACATGTATTGAATGGTACAACAAAAGTCTTCCCATTGTAGAATATGTTGTTTTTACTATTTTTGACCGATACAATTTCATTCATTTGCATTCATTTAAAACCATTTAATTTCATTTGCTAGATGCCAGCGCGGCACAAGATACCGGCGAACCAGGCAACGATTGGAATCTTACACGGAATCGAAATGGCCAAAATGCTGGCGATTTGGAGGCCGCTGCGGCGGCAGGACGAATGGGTTCTACCAATGTCGGCGCTATCGATATGCAAAATGCTGGAAAAATCAAATTCGATCCGCCCAAAGTGCCAGTGATATTTGTTTTAGGCGGCCCCGGTAGTGGCAAGGTCACCCATTGCGATACCTTCATGCAGGAGCGACGCGGCGTAACGCACATCAATATGATGGATCTCCTCCAGCAGTATGCAATGGGCAATGGTAAGATATAGCATATGGGGTTCTACAGCCAGGAGGTGCCTAAAAGTATGCTTTAATGGAGCGACAGTCTAAGAGCGCTCTGCCTTATAAAACAGTGATGCATACTTTTAGACACCTTAGCCGTTGGCAAGTCTAAAGATTGATTTCCCTACAGACATGCAAGACTTTTCGCAACTGTCGTCGAAAACCGTCACTGAGGTGCTGATGTTGGAAATGAAAATGGCTCCAGCTGCCAAAGCATACCTGATATCGGGATATCCACGCTCCATGCGCGACGTAGTCGAGTATTCTGAAAAGGTAATTTTCCACCAGCTCACCCAATTATTACCAGGCCATTTCGGTTGCCGCACACACTTTATTTGCCCAGTAAATTGCTGCCGTACTATTTCAACTAATTAACTGGCAAATGGGTCGCCGACAGTGTGTTTATTTGGCCATAATTCCCATGGATTTACACTGTCTCCTACATTATATAAGCAAGTGCTAATTGGACAGACTTGGTGCAAACGGCACTTGGGGAGTCACAAGCACATGGCGTTAACTATGGTACATAGACCTATCATTGCACAAGTAGGACATAACAATTTGGAGCCACAAATAGAGCTGAATCTTCTTTGATTGACTTCTTTCTACTTCCATTACAGATTCAAGTCGTGAATGGCGTGATTCTAATATCCTGGCGCCAATCGGTTCTGCAGAAGCAAATCGATTATGGAGCCAAATTAGGTCATGTAGTACTCTCCTTAGCCAAAATGGAATTAGAAAATTTCTTTAAAAATGTGATGCCCGTCGCCGATTATTTTGATCAGAGCGACATGTTGTTGGCCGTAAGTGAATATAGATATTGCCCTGGTACTTAAGTAACAGTGTGTTAAATCAGACAAATAAATAAATTAACACACTTTTATTTACTATTTTCTACAGGTAAATGGCGAACGTGCGCCCACAGAGGTTTACAAAGACTTTCGCACCGCTGTCCTCGATATACTGAGCACCCTCGAGAACCAAGAGGCCGTGATGAATGGAGTTACAGGTATGGGCAGAGGGATACATGATATACCCGGCAGTATAGTTAGCGTAGACACTGCACCAAGTCAAGCCCAACAAGGGACTCAAATTGCAGAAGACAGCGCGGCCAATGCCTCTGAAACTGCGGGAACCGTTTTGGCCAGAGATTTGGCAATCGAACGGATGGATGGTGGGCCAAATGGGGGCGTGACAGCCCTGAAAACGGGCACCACCAGTGCGGATGATGACAGCGGTGTTGTGGTCACCCAGCAGCCAAAGTTGCGCCAGGCTGCTGGACCAGATGAATTGGGATCGGACCTGCCACCGATTATCTGGGTGATCGGCGGTCCGGGCAGCAACAAGGCCACACTTTGCCTCAAGGCTGTGGGACTGAATCCTGGCTGGGCTCACATCAGGTATGTTGCATTAGTTAAATAGATAGTACATAAATAAGTTTGCATAAACTGACATTATTTCCTAAAGCGTCGGTCGTCTTTTGCGCAATATCACGGACTCTGCACCACGTGCCAATACGGAAAGCTTCGCCGTCAAGGAAGCCTTGGCCGCTGGGGATATGGCCCCGGAGAAGTCGCTGAATCAGCTCCTGGAAACCAATCTGCGCCAGCTACGAGATAGAACTGGCATTATCGTAGATGGGTATCCCAGAAACCTGCAGCAAGTCAAGTACTTTGAGAATAAGGTAATCTCTACGGTGGCTAAATCCTAATTTATAAGTTACCCTACTGGTTCGTAATTGGTAATTGGCAAATGCTCAAATCATTTGTATACTTTTTACTTCCTTTTGTATTGTTTAGTACAAACAACGACCGCCAATTATCCTGCTGGATTGCTCAAAACTTCAGTTAGGCAGAGGACGTATAGATGACACGGTGTCCTCCTTTCGCCGCCGCTTGGAACTCTTTCGTGAGCAAACTCTGCCCATGCTTAAGATTCTGGATACCAGTAATCGTTTGCAGATTGTAAGTAACTGAAGAAACAAACAGAATATAAAAACTTACTTTATATAATATTTGAATGTGATGACAGGTTGATGGAGACACGGATAGTCCATCTGTGCAGCGTGAGTTTGAGCGTCTCATCCGGAATCACATACAGCGTTTGTTGAACAAAACCGACGATATAGACGACTCAGCCAACTTGGGTAACCAGATGATGCGGAACGAGCAAACGGATGCCATTCTCCATGATCTGGAGACCAATGTGCCGGGTGCCGTGCCCACGATTAGTCACCACGTGAGCATGATGAACGGCCATCTGAAGAGTCGCGGAAGCGCCTTGGGGAGTGGGAAACCCCACGGCCAGATGATGAACGGACATGTTCCCGGCAGACCCGGAACCGGAACCGGACCAGTTGGCCAACCAGTACCCGTTGATTTCCGGCACATGCTGGAGGAGGCCGAGCGATATCCGGTCGACTCGTATATGTAGATGTGGACTCACAGGAATCCGCAGGACAGACGGATATCTAAGTTTTATAGTTTTCTAATTAGCCTAGACTAAGCGTACTGTGTAATGCCGGTTTGTGGAATTGTCGAAAGTGGACCAATGCGTAAGTTAGTCCGGCTAGATTAAGAGTTAGAAGAATTCAATTCACTACTTTACTTCACTAGACGAGTACCAACTTAGCCTAAGAGTGCGTTAGGGGCAGCCGTTAGAATGTACGATTTCAATAAAATCTTAAGAGAGTCGAAAGTTGCTCAAGGAATTATTAGTTGTAATCTATAATTTTTCAAGTTATTGCTATACTTTGGTACACTAGTAATTTTCCCAAGTGAGAGTGGGCACCTCATGAATTGAAAATTCCATAGACTTATCATCAAGACCTCCCATCGGATGTTGCATTTTTCTTTTAATTTTCCTCTCCTTCGGATTGTCCAAATCGAGTTTGCCTTTCTCCTTCAGTTGCTGATAACTCTCTAAAATGACTTTATTTTCGGCATCTTTGCTCGAAAAACGCTGAATCCTATCCGAGTTTGGACTTTCCCGATTGCGGTGTTGCATAAAATGTTGGGCATGTTGATTGACAACGTGGATTTCAACAGAGCCAATCTGGTCAACGGGACTTTCTAGCCTGGCGGGACTATTGTGATTGCACCATATAAATACTAAAAGCATGGCAAAAAAAATAATTATAAACTTCCTAATCTTGATATCATACCTTGTATCATTTTAAGTAAATATTTTCTGACGAGTGAGAAAATGGATGTTTGATGTTAAACACTTACTTATGAAAGGCTGATGCGATCGGCCAGAAAGGCTGACAACTTCACCATTGGACATTCCATACTGGGAAAAAATTACAGAATAGACTGGCACTTGACATATAATATATGTAGGTGCAGCATGAAGGACTCGAAGCTAAACACCATAATCAAATAAATCCAAGGGAAAAACTAATATAAAGGTTTTACAACTAGTTTAAACTTTATTTGCTATTTAAGAAACTGTACTAGTCACGGTATTATCAGTGATTGAGGGCACTGAAGCAGATACAATATAGTTTTGCGATCTTATCATCGATGCATGTGGAGTCCTCTTTGTAGGAATTCGTTCTGCTGATTTTCTCCACATTTACTTCAGCATATTGGGTGGAATTATGGTAGACCACTGTGGCTTGGAAGTCAGCACTGTTCTGTTTCACTTTGAACTTAATACGATAAACGGCAGTTTCTGTTTCCTTCAGTTCTTGGTGCCAATCACTGTCCAGACCCGTTTTTATCTCAGTCTTATGGATATAGCTTAGCGTCAGATTGCTGCAGAGGCTGGTTAGGTTCTTTTGAACGAAATACTCGTTCATTCGATCGATCACACTGGTGGCAATAGGAGTGGTCCAATCCTGCCCCGATATAAGCCTGAAGGGTTCGCAGGTGCACCAGTGCTCCTCAATGCCCGCCTCCGAACAGGTACGACCCTCCGGCAGGGGATAGAACAGCGACTGGCAGGTGGGGCAGTCGAAGGACTTGGGTAGCTCTCGACCATCTGGGGTACCCCCAATCTCTATGATATGTTTCAGCGTATTGTGGAGGTCAAAGTTGGAACTAAGCCTGTGCTGATTTAACTCCAGTGCCCTCACATAAGATGGATATGTCTCACGGAACCAGGGCGGCAGATATATAAACATCATCGGAAGCCGCTCCTCCAGAAAGCCCTCCTTCAGACGGGTCAACTTGCCAAATCTGTTACCATGGTCGGCAAAAAAGATCATTATCATTTCCTCAAAATCCCCATCCTCATGCATATCTAGCAGATCTCCCAGAACCTTTTCTTGCATGGACGAAGGTATAAATGGATCGTCGTGACTGAAGTGATTTGACCAGAACATTCCCCAAATCGGTCGATCGTGGACAAAACGTTGCGTGAACTGTATGCCATAGTCGTAGATATAACGATTCGCTATCCTGCGCCCCAGACAGTATCGCATGAAGTCGTGTTCCGGCAATCGGTACACATCCATTTCGGACTCCAGTGCCCTAAGCATAGGTCGAAAGTAATAGTCCACCGGCTTCTTGGAGAAGCCGGGCTTTAGGTAACTGAAATGATTCAAGTTACTCTCGTCCTCCGCGTATCCAGTCAAATAACTGGCGTTCTTGAAATACTTCCATATCATTGGCATCTCGTCCAAGCAGCCTTCCTTATCAGTATCGCAAACATGTTCCTTGGCCGTACCGGCCGAATATCCACTGAGAATAGCGAGTATATTGGGAAAAGAGTTGTCGCCCACCTGAAATCAAAATGTTGTAACTTATATTTGTTGTGTTGTAGCCAAAATAAATTGAAACTAAAAACAGGGGACAATTCTAGAGTCCAGTTTCCCGACTATCAGATACCCGTTACTCAACTAAAAATTAAAAAATGTTCAAAAGTGTGGGCGGGACAGTTTTGGTCGGTTTGTGGGCGGTAGAGTGACGTGGCAAAAAGTTTTTTGGCAAACCGCTAGAAATTTACATGACTAATACAAAAAAATCAAAACATTTTTCAAAAGTATGGGCGTGGCAACTTTGGGCGTTTTATGGGCGGGGCAACATCATTTAACAAACTTGCGTTGCGTTTATGTCTCTGGAATCTGCTTTCGGCTATAAAAACGAATGACGGGTATAAAAATTTCTATAATTAGCCAACATGTCAAATATCCAAGCTTTCGACATCTTAATAATTATTTATTTTAGCAATGTCAAACAAGTAGACAAAGATATTTACTCTCGACGGGGCTATTGTTCATTGGCCTTGTTAAAAATAAAATGTGTAACGATTGAAACAGGTGTTTAAGAATGGGCCGTTAAAACAAACACCAAAGCGGCATTGGCTCCTCACAAATAATACTTATTAAGTCAGTTATAAGATGTTAATATGTACATATATATTGTTAAAGTATATACATATATGATTCTAATCAATGCAGTTCATTTGAAAATGAATTATATTTATAGACTGCGAATTATATCAATTCTTGACAAAAAATTAAATCAAGCATTCGCATGACAGAGAAATATCAAATATTCCTACCTTGTTGTATCCTTGCATCTCGTACCATCCTGGGCCTTGTAGAAAGTGAAAAACTTTGGGCATAGTGCGGCGAAAGTTTATCCGGGAAAGGGAGTCAATACCGTACATTATCACACTTGGCTTTCGAGCTGCCCTGGACTTTTTGAGGTCCTTGGGCAACGGCCGGTGCTGGACAAAGGTGAAGGCGTCCTTCTGGAGGACAACTATCGGATCCTCAGCAGTCTGGCACTCGACGATCATTCCCTCCACATGGAATGGCACCTCGTAACCACTCGTGAAATACTTTTTGCCCTTAAGACTACGAAGCATAAGAGGATGATTGGATATTGTTTCTTCAGCGAAAAAGGGGCTCAAGCTCCCACTTGTCTTACTTGTCGTAGGTATCTGCATGATTTCCGTATTTGATTTCGCGGTAGAAGCAATTGTATTCGGCGTCTGTGAAATTAAGCAGTTTTTGAGCGACTTCGTCGTCAATATGCAAAACATGCCGCTTAATAACTTTATTGTATTTTGTCGATATGAGATCGGTCTCATTAGAGCAGGTGACTAGTGTTTGTGGTTTGTATAACTTCATAGCTTCGTCATTGAAAGGATCCACATAGGGTATACGGCACTTGGATGTTTTCACATAGAATTTCTGCGGCTCAGTCTTTTTCGAAACTCGCGAAAAGCGCGTTGTAGGCGGATAAATTTCACTATTGTCATTCGAAGACGTTTTCGATAGATATATTACATAAACCACGATGGACAAAAGGCAGCAAAAAACGAGGGTTTTATACAGCGAATGGCTGTAACAAATTCGTAAATCCATGTTCTTCATTTGACCACATACACGACGCTACTAAGACGCAGTTGAAGAGAATACCCCTAAATAAGAATATGTCTGGCTTTCTTAACATTTCTTACGAATAAACCACGATCGTGCTCAAAAATTTATTACCGAGCCCACACCCGAACTTCTTTAGCCATCGGGCTGTCAAAAAATGGAATGTCAAATGTGATAGTGATATCTTTAAAAAAGGTCAGGCTCGGGAATTTGCGGCAAACACCACGTAGAAGCTATTTAAGTTCAGTTCGATGAGTTCACTCAATGCACTTTTTAGACAGAGTGTTTTTAAAGTTAGATAAGCTTTAATTGTAAAATTTCTGAGCTCTTCGCTTGACCGACCGTACTTTTATTTATCTACCGACCTGTCAACGCTAGTCATTATGTTACAATTATTTACAACCCAGTTGTAATAGCTTCCGCAAGTCCATTTTAAAGTTGAAAATTTACCATACCGCAATATTACCATCATTATTTGATGGATAAAAAGGTATGATAACAATGTTATATTTCTCTATTTTTACAAATTATATTGCTGAATATATTATATATAAGCTGAATCCTATCCGAGTTTGGACTTTCCCGACTGCTGTGTTGCATAAAATGTTGGGCATCTTGATTGACAACGTGGATTTCAACAGAGCCAATCTGGTCAACGGGACTTTCTAGCCTGGCAGGACTATTGTGATTGCACCATATAAATACTAAAAGCATGGCAAAAAAATAATTATAAACTTCCTAATCTTGATATCATACCTTGATATCAAATTCAACTTAAAATATTTCAAGTAAATATTTTCTGACGAGTGAGAAAATAGATGTTTGATGTTAAACACTTACTTATCAACTGACATCAACAGTTCGGCTGGTTAAGGAACCTGTGAAGATCACATCTCACTTTCTATTGAATTTATATATCACTTTAGCTGTCTGTCCTAAGAGGCATCATATTGTTCATCCGTCTTACAGTCAATTTGCCAAGTCCTTTTATGAAAGGCTGATGCGATCGGCCAGATAGGCTCACAACTTCACCATTGGACATTCCGTACTGGGAAAAAATTACAGAATAGACTGGCACTTGACATATAATATATGTAGGTGCAGCATGAAGGACTCGAAGCTAAACACCATAATCAAATAAATCCAAGGGAAAAACTAATATAAAGGTTTTACAACTAGTTTAAACTTTATTAGCTATTTAAGAAACTGTACTAGTCACGGTATTATCAGTGACTGAGGGCACTGAAGCAGATACAATATAGTTTTGCGATCTTATCATCGATGCATGTGGAGTCCTCTTTGTAGGAATTCGTTCTGCTGATTTTCTCCACATTTACTTCAGCATATTGGGTGGAATTATGGTAGACCACTGTGGCTTGGAAGTCAGCACTGTTCTGTTTCACTTTGAACTTAATACGATAAACGGCAGTTTCTGTTTCCTTCAGTTCTTGGTGCCAATCACTGTCCAGACCCGTTTTTATCTCAGTCTTATGGATATAGCTTAGCGTCAGATTGCTGCAGAGGCTGGTTAGGTTCTTTTGAACGAAATACTCGTTCATTCGATCGATCACACTGGTGGCAATAGGAGTGGTCCAATCCTGCCCCGATATAAGCCTGAAGGGTTCGCAGGTGCACCAGTGCTCCTCAATGCCCGCCTCCGAACAGGTACGACCCTCCGGCAGGGGATAGAACAGCGACTGGCAGGTGGGGCAGTCGAAGGACTTGGGTAGCTCTCGACCATCTGGGGTACCCCCAATCTCTATGATATGTTTCAGCGTATTGTGGAGGTCAAAGTTGGAACTAAGCCTGTGCTGATTTAACTCCAGTGCCCTCACATAAGATGGATATGTCTCACGGAACCAGGGCGGCAGATATATAAACATCATCGGAAGCCGCTCCTCCAGAAAGCCCTCCTTCAGACGGGTCAACTCGCCAAATCTGGTACCATGGTCGGCAAAAAATATCATTATCATTTCCTCAAAATCCCCATCCTCAAGCATATCTAGCAGATCTCCCAGAACCTTTTCCTGCATGGACGAAGGCATAAATGGATCGTCGTGACTGAAGTGATTTGACCAGAACATTCCCCAAATGGGTCGATCGTGGACAAAACGTTGCGTGAACTGTAGGCCATAGTCGTAGATATAACGATTCGCTATCCTGCGCCCCAGACAGTATCGCATGTAGTCATGTTCCGGCAATCGGTACACATCCATTTCGGACTCCAGTGCCCTAAGCATAGGTCGAAAGTAATAGTCCATCGGCTTCTTGGAGAAGCCGGGCTTTAGGTAATTGAAATGATTCGAGTTACTTTCATCCTCCGCGTATCCAGTCAAATAGCTGGCGTTCTTGAAATACTTCCATATCATTGGCATCTCGTCCAAACAGCCTTCATTATCAGTATCGCAAACATGTTCCTTGGCCGTACCGGCCGAATATCCACTGAGAATAGCGAGTATATTGGGAAACGAGTTGTCGGCCACCTGAAATCAAAATGTTGTAACTAGTTATAACCAAAATATTTAGCTTGAAACTAAAAACTAGGGATAATGCTATAGTCGAGTTCCCCGACTATAAGTGCGATCAAGAAATTTAATCATTTTCTGAAAATCAATAGTGGCTGTTTTTGTTGGTTTAAGGGCGGTAGAGTGGGCGTTAACAAACTTTCGCTGCGTCTATATCTCTGGAATCTCAATCGTAATCTCATTCTCAACTTTCTAGCTTTTATAGTTCATGAGATCTCGACGTTTATGCCGACGGACATACCCAGATCGACTTGGCTACAGATCAAGCATATGTACATATGTATATACATATACATATATATACGTTATATGGTCGGAAATGCTTCCATCTGCCTGTAGGATATTTTTCAACGAATATAGTATTCCCTTTATGCTTTCCATAATTAGCCAACATGTCAAATACATGTCAATACAAAAATTACTTTTGACATCTAAATAATTATCTGTTTTAGCAATGTTAAACAAGTGCATAATGATATTTACTCTCAACGGGGCCGTTGTTTCATGGCCGTCGTAAAATGGCCAATATTTAACTATTGAAACAGTTGTACACGTGGTTGATCTTTTAGCGTCAGCGATATAAACAAACTCTAACGGCTCTTGACAAATAATACTTACTACATAGTTCAGTTATAAAATGTCAATAATAAAATGTATTCAATGCAAAATCTGTTCTTTGACTTTGTCTTATACTAATTCTTGACAAAAATTTAATTCGCATGTGTAGTAGGAAATATGTATATATATATGTACATAGGTCCCACTGTATTATACATGACATAATAATACGTAAATTTTGTAAAAAAAAAAAAAAAAAAGAACAAGAAGCCACGCGGTAATAAGCACAAATATCCGTTAGAATTAAGCACAGCATTTTCATCCCTTTCTGTCATGAACATTCAGCATATAAGATAGAATCTTCATGGCCCGTTCGCACAAATGAAGAAGGGAGAAGAATTTCGAGGCGTCATTCGGTGGCGTGCTCTCAAACAGTTGAAATAAAGTTACATATATTGAATCAAGTGTGTTCTAGTGTTTTGCAACATCAGAAGTGGTCCTTACTCACAATGCCTGACACAGATCTTAACCAATTCGCCGTTGTTCAGCTAAAAACTTGGTTGGCAGCAGGGACAGCAGGCAGAACACGAGGATCTCCAAATTATTTCCGATTTCACTTCTATGACCTCGCTGGAGGTATTTGAAATCTGTATGAAAGCAGTCCAATTTGGACGCGGAAAAGCCATATTACAAAAATACGAGACGAGATCGAGCAAAGTAAGTCGGTAACTACCAAAGTCACTAGAATAATAAGATGCGTAACGCCATACGATTTTTTTGCGCACGATTTTTTCGTGCTGGCTCTAGAGCGCTCTCTCTCTGGCTCTTGAGCTGAAATTCGAGAGAGCCTGGAGCCAGAGAGAGAGCGCTCTAGAGCTCTCTAGTACGCATGCAGCGACAGCCGATCACTGTATGTGTGCACACGTATGCTGTAAATTTGACAAAATATGCCCTTCACCACAGAAGTTATGGAAAATACATATATTATTTGTACTCGATTGCCACCAAGTAAAAACTCTAATTTTGCATTGCCCTAACATGATAATTATTTATATAAATCATAGAAATACTAATAGGTGAATACATGTACATAATAATACCGAATTATTTTAATAAATTACTTTATACTAGAAAATATGTCGTTAGAGTATTCAACTCGCGACGTGGAAAATATACATATTTGAAGTTAGTGATTCTTGGGTGCGCTGGTCCTGCCTCAAGAATTCAAATTTGCAATAGACAGGTAGCATATAAAGTTTTTTAACTATTTAGTATATTTATTAGTACAAATTACGAAAATATAAAAGTAAAAAAATATGCATACCAATTTTAAGTATTTGAAATGCAAATATTTTGTGTAATGTTTTTGTTATATTCTAATTTGATATTTTAAAAACCTCGCAATTTTGGGTGGGTAAAAGGGCCAAATTTATTGTTTCTCCTTTAAGTTTGTTTTAATCCGTTTGCTTAAAGCTGACAAATACATAGAGCTCATCGTTTGCTACTATTTTTACAAATTTTAATGATATATCCGTATTCAGTTGTAAACGGGACGCGTATTCTGGAGCCGGCAGATCGCCTAAGCAGAAGATAAGCATATAAGAATTTGTTATGGCCCGTTCGCACAAATGAAGAAGAGTAGAACAGTTTCGAGACGTCAAAGGGAACAGTTGAAATCAAGTTATATTAAAGCAAGAGTATGTTCTAGTATTTTACATATGACAGAGTTTGGAGATGAGAATTTGGAGACAGAGATGTATCAAATATACCTACCTTGTTGTATCCTTGCATCTCGTACCATCCTGGGCCTTGTAGAAAGTGAAAAACTTTGGGCATAGTGCGGCGAAAGTTTATCCGGGAAAGGGAGTCAATACCGTACATTATCACACTTGGCTTTCGAGCTGCCCTGGACTTTTTGAGGTCCTTGGGCAACGGCCGGTGCTGGACAAAGGTGAAGGCGTCCTTCTGGAGGACAACTATCGGATCCTCAGCAGTCTGGCACTCGACGATCATTCCCTCCACATGGACTGGCACCTCGTAACCACTCGTGAAATACTTTTTGCCCTTAAGACTACGAAGCATAAGAGGATGATTGGATATTGTTTCTTCAGCGAAAAAGGGGCTCAAGCTCCCACTTGTCTTACTTGTCGTAGGTATCTGCATGATTTCCGTATTTGATTTCGCGGTAGAAGCAATTGTATTCGGCGTCTGTGAAATTAAGCAGTTTTTGAGCGACTTCGTCGTCAATATGCAAAACATGCCGCTTAATAACTTTATTGTATTTTGTCGATATGAGATCGGTCTCATTAGAGCAGGTGACTAGTGTTTGTGGTTTGTATAACTTCATAGCTTCGTCATTGAAAGGATCCACATAGGGTATACGGCACTTGGATGTTTTCACATAGAATTTCTGCGGCTCAGTCTTTTTCGAAACTCGCGAAAAGCGCGTTGTAGGCGGATAAATTTCACTATTGTCATTCGAAGACGTTTTCGATAGATATATTACATAAACCACGATGGACAAAAGGCAGCAAAAAACGAGGGTTTTATACAGCGAATGGCTGTAACAAATTCGAAAATCCATGTTCTTCATTTGACCACATACACGACGCTACTAACACGCAGTTGAAGAGAATACCCCTAAATAAGAATATTCCTGGCTCTGTTATCATTTCTAATGAATAAACCACGAACGTGCACTTAAATTTGTTCCCGATCCGAACTTCTTTAGCCATCGGGCTGTCACAAAATGAAATGTCAAATGGCACGAGCAGTGATATCTTTAAAAAAGGTCAGGCTCGGGAATTTCCGGCAAACCCCACGTAGAAGCTATTTAAGTTGAGTTCGATGAGTTCAGTCAATGCACTTTTTAGACAGAATATTTTTTAATTAAAAAACTTTTAGGTGTAACATTTTTGAGCACTTCGCTCGAGCGACCGTACGTTTTTTTATCTACTGTCAACGCTTGTCATCATATAAGTATGTAGTACAACCCATTAAGTATGTATTTACAACCCATTTGTAAAAGCTTTCGCAAGTCCATTTTAAAATTGAAAATTTACCGCATCGCAATTTTCATCATTATTTGATGGATAAAAAGGTATCATAACAATGTTATATTTTTCTATTTTTACAAATTATATTGCTTCCACTTTACGATTATTTCTGTATAAAATTTAAATTTGAAAAAAATTAAATTCAAAAAAAATATACATATAAATATATTGCATACATATGTATATTCCCATTTTTGATTACTGCATAGTTAATGTGGTTTGATTGTTTCTTATCCTTGATAGGCATATGCAGTACACCTTTTGAATAACGTCGTCTAAGCACTCCGAATCCCTCCAATACATATTAATTCGGCTGATTAGCTCCACATTGATCTGTAGCTCTTCTGTTCTTCTATCGTAGAGAACGGTGGCAAAGAACTGAGCCAAATTCTGATGAACCTGGAATTTGGTGTGATAATGTCGCAATCCCTTTCGCAGACTTACGTTTTCATCGATCTCCAGCATTCTTACTTCGGTGACGTTGACTACCCTAAGGGTGAGATTGCTACACTGATTCTGCAGGTTATTATATTGGAGGTATTGGTTAATGCGATCGACCACCAGTTCGGCCATGCGCCAAGTCCCGTTGTCCTCCGTGACTTCCTCGTAGTTGTGGCAGGTACAGTAAGTCTCCGGTATAGCAGCCTCCGAGCATCTTCTATTTTCTGGCAACGGGTAGAATAGCGACTGACACTGGGGGCAGTCGTAGGACCACTTGGTATCCTCCACCAATCCTTCGATGTTAATAATATGTTTCAAGGTATTGTACACGTCGAAGTTGGAACTCAACCGATTCTGATTCTGGGCCAGAGCCTCCACATAGTGTGGATATTTCTCACGGAACCAGGGTGGTAAGTAAATGAACATCATAGGCAGCCGCTCTTCTAGAAACGATTCCTTCGTGGTCATTAGGGGACCAAACCGAGATCCGTGATCCGAGAAGAATATCATAATCGTATGCTCGAAAGATCCATCCTTCTCGAAATTAAGCAGGTCGCCTAAGACCTTGTGTTGCATGGCCGAGAGCATTGCCCAGTCATCGTGACTGAAATGACTGGACCAAAACATGCCCCAAATGGGACGGTCGGCCACGAATCGTTGCATAAACTGGCGGCAGTAATCGAAGATATAGCTATTGGCAAGTCGGCGACCCAGGCAGTATGTCAGTTTACAGCCTGAGTAATACAGGTTATTAGTTTCTTTTTCCAGGGCATCCAAAAGTGGACGAAAGTAGTAATCTGTGGGCCTACTGAAAAACCCTGGTTTGAAATAATTAAAAGTATTGATCTTCAGTGTATCCTCGGCGTAGGCTGTTAGAAAGCCCTCCTTTTTCATTTCCTTCCATATAAAGGGTATTTCATCTAAACATCCTGGTTGATATACATCACATATTTGATTTTTTGCCGAATGTGGGGAATATCCTGTTAGGATGGCAAATATATTGGGAAACGAATTATCAGCTACCTGAAATAGAACTTAAGTTTTAAAATAACTGTGCTATTGGTTTTTATAAACGATATACCAATTGTGGAACAATTGTTTGGAGTTTCTTACCTTATTGTAGCCCATCATTTCGTACCATCCTGGAGACTTTAGGAACTCGAATACCATAGGCATCAACCGCCGAAGATTGGTTCTTGAGACGGTATCTATGCCGTACATTATTACACTAGCCTTTCGATCTTTCACCAAATTCAGAGGAGTTTTCTGGTGTTGTACAAACGTAAAAGCATCCTCTTGCAGGATGCGTTTCTCGTCCGCTGACCTACAGTCCACCAACATTCCTTCCACGTTCAGGGGTACTACGTAGTCGTGAGTGAATTTAGTTCTATTCCCCATCCTAGTCAGCTTAAAAAAGCCTTTTAAAACCTCAACTTCACTTTAAAAATAACATTACCTATCGTAGCGATCCACAGATTGTCCGTAGATAATATTCTGGTAAAAACAAGCAAAGTCATTACTGTTTGACTGCGACAGCTTGTGAAGCACTTCTTTATTGACATGCAGGACATAGTGTTTTAAAATGGAATCAAAGTGTACTGTAACCAGATCACTTTGATTGGAGCAGGGTGTAAAATTTTTTGGCGTGTATAGTTTTTTGAACTCGAAATTAAAGGGCTCCACGTACGGCATTTGGCACTTAGAGCTATTTACGTAGAAACGTTTTTCGCTTTTCTTGTGTTTTGTTAAAAGCTCATCGTTTACTCCGAAAGTCGTTGTGTTCCACACAATTAAGAGGAATAAAATAAATATGCACAAAATAAATTGTTTAGATGACACTAAAGTAAACGTCTTAGTTTTCAACATCATCCTAAATTAAATTAACCATAAGCTAATTGCTAAACTCAGAAAGAAATTGCACAACTAATAGGATCGTAAAGAAATAATTTTATATCGTTTTTCAATAAGAAATACACTGAACTGATTGGGCTGAGCTATCCCTAACAACTGACTTCGATCAGCTCCTAGAGATCGCAATCAATAAACAATGTCAATAGAGCGAAAACGAATAAATACGAGTTGAATGTCCGTCGACGATGATAATGAATGTTTACCTTTTTATTAAAAGTGTATGTGTGGCAAAGCTTTTTTCAACACTTCAATTCTGAAGTAATTAATATAGCCCTAGTTTGTTTTATATAACATCAAGTTTATTTTCACTTTATTATAGCTCGCAGCTTTGACAAGCAAACGCAATATAGCTTTTGAATCTTATTGCTGACGCACTCTGAATCGGTACCATACATATTAGTTCGACTGATGAGCTCCACATTTATCTGGAGTTCTTCTGTCTCCCTATCGTAGAGAACAGTGGCAAAAAACTCAGCCAAATTTTGATGAACTTGAAATTTGGTATGGTAGTGTCGCATTCCCTTTGCTAGATTTACGTCCTTATAGTGCATTCTTACTTCAGTGTTATTGACTACCCTCAGGGTGAGATTACTACAAAGATTCTGCAGATTATGATATTGCAGGTATTTGTTCATGCGATCGACCACCAGTTCGGCCATGCGCCAAGTCCCGTGGTCCTCCGTGACTTCCTCGTAGTTGTGGCACGTACAGTAAGCCTCCGCTATGCCAGTCTCCGAACAGCTTCGATTCTCTGGTAGGGGATAAAAAAGCGACTGACACTGGGGGCAGTCGTAGGACCGTTTGGTATCCTCCACCAATCCTTCAATGTTAATAATATGTTTCAAGGTATTGTACACGTCGAAGTTGGAACTCAACCGATTCTGATTCTGAGCCAGAGCCTCCACATAGTAAGGATATTTTATTCGAAACCAGGGTGGTAAGTAAATGAACATCATAGGCAGCCGCTCTTCTAGAAAAGCTTCTTTCGTGTACATGAGAGGACCGAAACGAGCTCCGTGATCTGAGAAGAATATCATTATGGTATGCTCGAAAGCCCCATCCTTTTCAAAATTGAGCAAATCTTCTAGGATCTTGTGTTGCATGGCCGAGAGCATAAATAAGTCGTCGTGGCTGTAATGGTTCGTCCAAAACATGCCCCAGATAGGGCGATCGGCAACGAATCGTTGCATAAACTGGCGGCAGTAATCGAAGATATAGCTGTTGGCAAGTCGACGACCCAGACAATATTTCATTAGGCAATCAGGGCAATATTGGATCAAAGTCTCGTTTTCAAGGGCGGTTAGAAATGGACGAAAATAATAATCTGTGGGCTTCACGGCGAAGCCTGGCTTTGCATAGTTGAAGGTATTTGAGTGCTCCTCATCTTCAGCATAGGCTGTTAAATACCCGTCTTTTTTGAACTCCTTCCATATAAAAGGTATTTTATCCAAACATCCATCAACATCCGTATTACAAATTCGTTTTTCGGCCGACTCCGGGGAAAAGCCAGTTAGCATAGCGAATATGTTGGGAAAGGAATTATCAGCCACCTATATTAGGAATATTTAAAATATGTTTTTAACGATAGAAAAAAAGTTCCAATGGAATACATTCAATGACCTTATTGTAGCCCATCATTTCGTACCATCCTGGAGACTTGAGGAACTCGTGTACAATGGGCATCATCCTGCGAAGATTGGTCCTTGAGACAGTATCTATACCGTACATAATAACACTGGCCTTATTATTTGGCTTTACTTTCTGTGGACGATGCTTGTATTGCACAAATACAAAAGCATCTCTTTGGAGGACTCTCATTTCGTCAGCGGTCCTGCATTCCACCAACATCCCTTCGACATCCAAAGGCACCAAATAGTTCTGACTGATTTTGGTTCTTCTACCTTTCCTGCATTTAAGGAAGCAAAATTGTATGGTAACCCTACTTTACATAATGCACTCAATTACCTGTCGTAATGATCCGCTGATTGACCATAAATAATTTTCTGATAAAAACAAGCAAAGTCATTCGTTTTTGACTCGGACAGCTCGTGAAGCACTTCCTCATTTGTGTGAAGCACATATCGATTCAATATTTTATCGTAGTGTGCAGAAACAAGATCACTTTCATTTGTGCACGGTATAAATTTCTTTGGGTGATTGATTTTTAAGAACTCCGCATTGAAGGGATCTACATAATGCATTTCACACTTTCCGGATTTGACATAAAAGCGTTTTTTCACTCCCTGGGTTTCTCGAACACTAGTCCTAAACTTTTCATCGACTCTTGAGGAATTCATGCTCCACAGACATATTAAGGTTACAGCCAGAAAACTCACAGTAAGTCTTTTAAAAGTGTATGACATAGACCGCGCCATTGTAAATATTTCTGCCAACTAATATTTTCGATTACTTTTAAAATCTGGCTAGGCTACCGTAGAGAAATTCATTTCACGGTGAGTTTTTATTTTGTATCCTATTTAAATTAACTTGGAAGAAACATGTACAAACAAACGGGCATGCAAATTATATTTAATCATTTAAACTAACAGACTCTGGTGTATGTCAAATACTGAGTTCAGTTAGGAGTTATCATGGAACCTTGTAGGACGCTGCTTTTGATAATACCCATATTCCTACAAAGTCATTTGTCTATGACTACAAAAAAGAAACCAGTGCTTCGAAACTCGCAATCTAATCAAGTCCATCATGAACACTATATCATGACATCAGAGTGTCATATTCCATACATCATCAAATCAGTAAAAAGTAAAAAAAGGAACATAAAACATGACAACGTTTGTTCCAACGATAATAGTTTAATAAAACTTCGTTTCGACGACAAAATCCAGCAATATGTGTTATATGTAAATGATTCTGTGGCCCAGCTGAAACTTGCGTCTATGGAAAAGAAATCTCCCAACTTGGTTGGATACAATTGCAGTTATCGTGCGATAAGAGGTGTAAATCGCAACTTTACTTTTGATGCACCTGTTGTGTATGTATTTCATTTAACATGTGAAAGCCTTATAATTTGATAACAATTTTTGAATAGCCTCGGTGACGAAGTTCCTTTTTGGAATGGCTATACGGTTCCCCGTACCGTGGACGGCATAAGAGCATCCTGCCGAAGTGAACTGGCAAAGGATCTGCAATCAAATTCTTTTGCCCTAGTCCAACCTCGTAAAGCATATGCACCACTTTTTTCCTGGCACCGCAGACCGAGTGTTATAATGATTGGACTCGATGGTATTTCCCAGATCAACTTTCGCCGCAACTTTCCCATTGTATTCAACCATCTTAAAATGCAGGGCTGGTTCAAGATGGATGGATACACAGATATTGGTGAGAATACCCAGTCCAATTTATTGGCTGTACTGACGGGCTACAGTCCGCACACTTTGATGAATCTCAAATGCAATGCGAGTGGGAATGGTTGCCTGAAAACGGTTCCACTTATATGGAAGCATTTTAAGAAGAAGGGTTACATAACCGCATATGGCGGGGGAATGTCCGATGTGACAATCTTCAATTCGGTAAAGAATGGGTTTTTTGAAGGTCCCATTGACTTTAATGCCCGTCATATTCTGGAGCAGAAGAATGGTGAAAGTTGCATTGATCGACGACTTAATATCAAGTATAGCTTTGACTATTGTAAGGAATTTTTAAAACGACATTCTAATTCATCCCGACCTGTACTCGGAATTTTCTTTGCAAACGGAATGCCGCATAAATCCTATGATAATGACAAAATACAAGCTGAACTGTTGGATATAGTCAAGAAATTCAAGGAAATGGGTATTCTTACAAAGTCAATTGTCGTCCTGTTCAGCTATCCTGTGTCATCTGTACAAGAAAAGAAAAGGAACTTTCTTGGGGAAAGTTTACCCATCCTGTACATTTGGCTACCATCCTGGTTTAGAGCATTGCGTCCTGAAATAGTTCAAGCCTTGAGGATCAATAGTAAACGTCTGACTTCTCCATACGATCTTCATCTCACACTGCAACATCTCTTGGAACTGGGAGAACGTTGGCCTCATGCAGTGGACAAACTGGTAGATTGCCCCACTTGTCAGACCCTTTTTGCTCCAGTTCCCGAGAATCGAACCTGTTCAGATGCTGGCATAGGGGAATCCAACTGCCCGTGTGATACCTACAAGTTGCTTAACACCAATCAAATAAAGCATTTGTCTTTGGGAAAGCTACTCGTGCGCAGCATAAATCAATTCCTTTATCATCACAACTTGCAGGAGCTGTGCTACAATCTTACACTTAAATCAATCAAAATGGTGTTGCAACGAAAGGACAGAAAGTTATCAAGTGGCAGCACCTATAGAGTATATTTCACTGCCACCCCAAACAACCCAGAATTTTCTACGACTACTCGCTACAATCACAATCGTCAAGAACTGGAATATATAAATGTGGAGTCCATAAACCGATTGAATCACTATCAAAATGACTCGAGTTGCATGCGAAGATTACGAGGCAGAAAGTTTTGTATATGCAAGAGTCGAATACTGGAGGAAATTTCAGTTACCGCTAAGGGAAATGTGAAAAACCAGAAGAAAAGTAAACGAGACTTTAAAAAAGAAGTCCCGAATAAAAATAAAGTAGATATTAGTTTATATGACTTACCAGAGATGCGAGAAAGCGACCAAAACATTGAAATTATCTCGGTGTAAATGGGCGGTGTTGGGCCTGAAATAAATTTAAACACTCAATTTTTTAACAAGTTCAGGAACAATAATCTTTGTGACTGACATAGCCATCGGCTAAACCGAAGATCTGAATCTTAGGCTCATTCTTTCTGGTTATAGTCCAAGTAATTTGAACAACATAAGATGACTCCTTATAAGAACGAGGGTTATTTCCATTTAACCTTTTCAGTTAAACCTTGCTAAGCAATCTTAGATAGTACATGCATAAGCAATCAACCCCATAATTTACAGATTGCAAACGATTATTACGATTTTGCTATAAATTTCTTGGAGCATTATCTTAACAACTCCCAGCCACCAACCACACCAGTCATATATACATTGTCCAAACAAAGAAAATGTCACGAAAATACAACAGGAGAGCTAATCAAAATAGATATCAGGGTAAATACTTTTTAACTATGTAATGCAATCATTTATAAAATCTACAAACACCTGAGGAAAAAGAATCTCGAGCACAATTGAATTCAGCCTGCATTTTTGATGCAAAACTTTCCACATTTCAATAAAATAATTTGCAGTAGATAAGATTAACTGGCCGTAAATCCCTAATTTATTTGGTGTCTAGAACGTTCAAGTCGGGTATATTAAGATGGATGCGTCAAGAAATATTATACCCGTCAAACGGAGAGGAAAAGGCAATACTAGATACGTTGAAAAGTATGTAAGAGGTAGAAGGTACCGTTTCCGACCCTAAAATAAAATATGTGAATGTTTCTGTGCATCTTGTTTTTTTTTAGGCCAAGCCATTATTTTACAAAGCGGAAATTAGTGCTCTTTTATAATTGAAACTATGGGAATTGTGATGGACATATTAAATAACCAATCAATAGATCAAAACGTCAGATAAATTGATACCTGTGTCCATGCCTGCGATTATCATTTGAAAGGCTGTGTTTTGTCTACTTATTAACATTGTTTACTAATTCATTATGATAAAAGGCCGACGGCGACTATCAGTATCAGTTCAGATGAGGACAGGCACCCCGTAGCACAGTGGCGCTTTTCACATTTTTTAATACATATATTGTTTTCGTTTCTTTGAAATTAAAAGAAAAACGTGTATTACGATGTAGCCAGGAAACATAATTTTATGATTATGATTCATGGTTTTTAAGAGCCTAAAATAAACTGTAAAGGTTATATAATATCGTGTCCTTTCGAGCCCACTTAATTCATTTGATGTTCGCAGTGTTTTTTGCGTAAGGGAACCACTGTGCGACGTCTGTTTGGACTAAGCGTCATCGTTACTGATCCCAAGCACTGCCCACAGTCGGCTCTGTCCCGATTTGGATTATACTCATTTCATTAGTTCATTGCGATAACTCGCAGCCGACGGTACAACTCTGTCTCCGATTTCAGTTCTTCAAAGCAATTTAATTTATTATCCAGCATGACCAACAAGAAGATGTTCAACAGGACTACGTCAGTAAGTCCTGGGCAATTGCATTACTATCATACGGATTTCTATTACTCAATGCCGGATTTGCATAGTAAGTACTGACAGAAATTATACACAATCCTTTTTTAAACAAAGTACATTTTGTAGCCACAGAATATTATAGTTAATTTTTCATTAATTTTCGACTGTAAAATGTTATTATTAATTCGTGTAAGCTACAATTTTTAGTTCTCTTAAGTTCTTTCTTTCCCCCACTTTTTTTTTAACTACATACTTATGTGACCATCATCTTCTTGTCGGGAAGTTTATATACGAGTATGTTGATTTCAATATGATTTTCTCAAAGCTATGTCGTTATTTATATTGCAAAACAACTCAATTTTTTCTTAAATTCTAACCAAATAAAATAAATTTGAAGCCCACGTTACTTAACTTTTAGCAATTCAGTGAAACTACTGAAGTATATAGAATTCAATCTATTTATTCGTCAAAATCGTAAATTCCCGCCTTCATGTTAGTCCAGTTCACAACCAAATTTTCATCGCAGCCAACTTCACTTCACTTGATTTTCCCATGATTCTCTTTTTCTACTTATACAACCCACAAGAGAGCGAGAGGAAATACTCTAAAAAAATAATAATAAAAAATTGTATTAGAAATTTAAAAATTATTTGTTTTTCTGTACGCATATACGCATTCTGAAGTTTTTCAGTAGCTCTTCAGTACATCTCTGAAATATAAAAATTGTTTTCAAGTTAAATTTTGTACAGTGCACCCTTAAAACAAAGAGCACAGAGGTCGTCTACATTTCTTTGGGGTTAAAATTTCCACTGAAGCAGTTTCCCGTCTCATTTGTTGGGTTGCTTTGTAGTGAATTGAAGCGTTTTGTTTTTCCTCTGTCCAGTCTGGTGAAAATTTCGTAATTATAATGCTGGATAAATATTTAAGCCTTTGGAAAATGGGCGAAACAGGCTGAGTTGTGCGAGAGGAGACAATAAAAGTGGCCCTTTACTTATAAATATTCCGCGACGTGTCTCAAAAACAAACAAAGATATGCGGAAACAGTGTGTTAACAAAAAGAGTGAAAAATAGAGAGAGTGTCGCGATAAGCGGTTGAGCGAGACAGAGAAAATTGTTGATTAAAATGTGTGTCAAAATAAAACAAAAAGCCACTTGAACATCAGTTGCTTCTAATTCAAATCATGGGAAACGGCACGTGTGCTTCAGTTCTTGGATTTTTAAAATATTTACCCGTATGCATTTCTATAATTCCTTTATTTTTGGATATATGCTCACCTGAGCCACTTTTATAGGCGACAAATAGCAATCCAAGCAAACGACTAGAAAACGATCTCGACAACTACATGTGAAATTCACAAATCAAATCGCAATTGTCACATCCCAAAGATATAGAACAACTATAGGGGAGATACAGAATGTAAGTGCAACGCTAAAATAAACAAACAAGAATAACATTTCCACAGGTGTTTTTTGCATTTCAATGCATATTTCCGTCGCGGCTACAAATCGTTTTAAAAACCGGATGAAAACAGGCTACGGGTATTTCAAGGATTTTCACGATACACTGAAGAAAAATGATAGTGCCAAGAAACACACTTTCAATATTAACCTTGGCTGCAAAAAATAAAACCTAAAGCAAAAGAAGCAAATTATGAAATTCGTTAACAAAAAAATTGAATTGTTAATTAAATCAACTTGACACCTCAGCAACGGAAACGAATGACAACATTGTCAGAAATGCAAAACAAAATATAAAGCAAAATAAAATACCAATAATTCACGACCTATACCATTTTTTGAGGCCACACCATTTTGTGTCGTTGTCATGGGAAAGACCCGGGAAAACCTGACAAAGAAAAATTAAAACCGGCATTTGCATACAGAAATAGGAATAATGGAATTTAACGTAATATATGCCTTATTAAAGTGTTTTAGATTAATACAACAAGTCATTGGAAAGAAGGGCAGAACAAGTCTATGAAGGTTATCACTTTTCTTAATTGGATCTTAGATCTGTTATCACCCTACATTTACAAATATGAATCTTAAATTATTTCTTCCAACTGTTTGGTTATTGGAAAAATAACATTATTTATAATAGTATTCATTTGATATTTCTGTGTGCTACTTGAATGATTTTTTATAGTTAAGCTAATTAACGCATTTAGGGTTTTTTTTTTTTTTGTGCTTTATTCTAATCCAAAGTCTGTGAATAACATGGAATCGTTGAAAAGATGGCGATCAGCGAAATGTTTTTATGATACGGCTTTTATCTCGAAGCACATTCACATTTCAGTCTGGTTCAAAAAGCACTCGACAAAAACGTGACAAAGAAGCACTAACCGTGTATGCCATAAATTCTGTAGTTATGTCACATAAGTATGGCATATATGAATTTATTTATGCCTGATCACAACGCGCTGACGTCGATAAGACCTGACTAATATTAAGATCATTTTGTGAAGGAAAAACAGGGCTTATCGCAGTTGGCATCAATAGGCGGGCGGTAATTAGCTGGGTCCCTGATAAGGCACCAAAATCGTTCGTAATCATGTGAGTTTGCAGAGTAATCAAAGCTAAATAAAAATTATAGCAAAACTAAGTTAGAATATATATATATGTATATAACTATTTGTGTTTCATTTTAAATGCTAGTAAATATTTAAATAATATTATATAAATGTATTTTTCCCCCTGACTAAGCATAAGGAATCCGATTAACAAAATGGATTCCAAAGCAAACAGATTATGTTTAACATTTATGTGTTCATTTCCATATGATTATCCGATAATTACAAAATAAAACGTATGAGTTTACCACCCTAGAAAAAGATACCGCTCCTGGTCTAAATTTTTGTTGTTAACGGCGATAAGCAAATCTTTTTCCGCAAAACCAAGTAATTGTGGGGAATCATCCAGAGACGCGGGTCGCTAAACATCGATCAAACATCGGCTGTCACTTGGCTGGCCATCGATCTGAGTCTGCCAATTGAATCTTGTGAATAGCTTAGTTATACACTCGGCCAATATCAACAATCGTGTTGAATTGTTGATACAATCTCGCCTCTCACAATTGCTCAGTTGAACTTATAAGATCGTAAGGAGGGGGAGCCGTGAAAATATGCCGGTTCCAGTGGCCCAGACTAATTTGATAATCGCGCAATCTGACAGTGTACAACAAACCTGGCTGGCAATCAGACGTGGTCGCAGGAAAACTATTTCGCAGTCAAGGGAAAATTTTAAGCCGCCAGGATGCAGCCGATAACGGAATATCACTTTGAAGGTGCCCCGTCAGGCCATAGGAAAAAACTATTTCAATATCTCCAGATAATAATCTTTATCTTTTCTCCCTTTTTATTTGCAGAAACCCGCAAAATGCACGGTGTGAAAAGGGTGCTGGTTTTCTGCCTGATGATTGTGATACTGCCGGCCATCCTTATCATTATGCCGCTGCACTTGCGAAAGACAGTGTTTGCCGATGTCATCTATCCCATGGCTGAGTCCGATATCATTGAGATCCGGGCAGGAATCTCGTCGATCTTTTGCTCGAAACACACACTGCGTATGAGCTCCAACTTCAATGCGTTTCAACTACGTAATAAGCCCGAGATTGCGACGAATCGAAAACACATTAGGCTGAAGAAGTCTATGACTTTGCCGGATGATACCCTGGAATACTGGGGCTTCTTCTTGCTGAAAGGCGCCAAGGTGCGAGTGAAATTCTGCTCCCGCTACGATGGATCCCGCATCTTGATCATCCATGGTCACAGGGAGCTTAATCTTTGCGGTCTGACCGATCACAATAAGAACAAGTTGGGCGCCAATTATGCCAAAGGCCACGAACAGGTGCAGGTGTTCTTCGAAGACAACGTGGAGATCACGGAAGAGAAGGGCAACCAGGACGTCCTAATGGAGCACGAAAATCACGGTGGAGAGGATTTGACTGAGGATGTTTCACAGCCGCAGTTGAACATGCCTGTGAAGCAAAACAATTCTATACAGCCTAAGTTAATCAGGAAAAAACTGAAAAAGGGCACAATTCATCATGGCGAACATGATCCGTATGCTATAACCGATTTGCAGGGATCACACCATACAGAACACATATTGAATCACCATCAAAGCTCTAATTCTCCAGCCCATCAGCGAGATCAGAGTTCGAATATCACAAACAAAGAAGCTAGTCGCAATCACATACCATATGAAGATTTTGCAGATCAAAATTCGAGTAAGACCCATCATAGTGGGGAAAGTCCGCCTCATCGGGAGCGTCTCAAAAGACACAATAGAGGAAGCCATAGGAATCAGAAGAGACAGGATCTTTACGATACGCTTTATAAAAGATCGAAGAGGGAGAATGTCTACGATAGAAAGACCATCCACGGAGGAAATGCCATAAACTTCACGGAAACCGACGAGTCCAATTCGGTGTCCAGCTTTGAGACGGGATTATTTCAGTGTTTCAATGGAATGATCCTGCTGCAGGAGTTCTTTAGGCCAAAAAATGAGTGCTCAAATCCGCACATAATGGACACTTCGCCCAACAAGAGTTCGATGGTGGTGCACAACGTCATCGAGGATGGGTACTACTATTATATATTCTACAGCGACAACGATCATGTGCAAAACGAGATCCACGCCATATTCGATATTTACAAGCCGACGTACCAGTACTCGAACATGAGCGAATCGCAAAGCTGTCTGAATACCACGAATTGCACATTCAACATCAGTTTCCTTTCGGACGAGATCGTAGTGGTGGAGGTTCCCACTCGGGATGGCATTGAGCACGAGGAGGACGATATAACCAACCTGGTCTCTACCTGTCATCCGCGCAGCGAGATATACGCCATCTTTCCCATTACGGTGCTGGTCCTGATCCTTTGCTGCTCCTTCCTGTAGTCCTCTTGATCCAATATTATTATTATACTATTGTGATATTTATGGTGAGGTAACTGGGTGATATACTCGCTTGTGAGTGTGTTAACGTTATGGCCGGCCCCAAAACGCGAGCTTTTAAAGTAGCCATATAATATTCCATATCGGTTATACACACGGAATGAACAGTCTGAACAATTAAGGTCTACAAATTAAAATAGGAATGTAAGGAAAAATATATAAATTGTATATTGTGTACAAATAATGGTAGATACAAAGTAATTTTAAGAAAGAACTGTAGTACTTATCAACTAAATGATTAACTCTCATTTTACAAAGGACTTTCATGTTTTCGTTTACCTTAAAATCGTTACGTTGAACACATTTTTAAGACAATTCTTATGTACTCAATTGAAAACAATTAGTTACAATGCTTTTGTTGAATTTGTATTAGTGATTTCAGTTTTAAGATAATTTCCATTAGCTTTTAAAGAAATATAAAATAAATTGTAATTATGGGTTGTGATTTTTCATTTTATACTTAAGGCCTACATTTTGACGTTGCTGCAGATAATTTTCCACTGGCTGAAGTTTCAGGACAGAAAACAATTTTGTTGATTCTAGTTATTTTAGATCAATTCACACACAAATCAGGCATTCAAAGCTAATTCGCCGATCACTCGTGTCACTCGTTTCGTAATTTGGCCACGGAAGTAATGCAAATATTTATTTAAAATTATTGTACATGGAGTTGACATAAGAAATAAGGGAAAATACCATTGTCATTGAAAATGAATTGAACAGAATCACTTACTAGTCTTTTAGTTTGTACACTGCACACAATGAGCAGTGTAAACAAAGTGCCTTGGATTATCCGATTAGTATAGTTTTATTAGAATAAGTAATAAAAGAAAACAATAAAATATTATAAACAGTATTCAGCAAAACAACTTAATTTTAGAAAATGGGAAAAAAGCCTTTTTAAATTTAGCAGATCGATGACAACGTCAGCAATATAAGGCTGATTGCTATGAAACTAAATTTCTACATGGTGTATTGTTGTGTAGATACTATGTAAGATTACAGTAAACTTGAAAAAAATTTGTCAACTATTTTTATACCCGTTACTCGTGAGGTAAAAGCGTACATATATTAGATTCGTTGAAAAATTTGTTTTATAATTCTTTTGTTTGGAAATTCCTAACGATTTGCCTAAAATTGTGGATATTACTCCTTCGATCTCATGGCAGATACCAGATACTATCTGATAGTCAAGAAACAAGCGTTTAAAAACTTCTGCAGGGGCGAACGTTCATTCGTTTCTCACTAATTAGATGATTGAATTACGCCTTATCAGAGTTGTCAGATATATGTGAACAAGAAATACTATCTTATCTGAAGTGATTGATTGCAAAAAGTTATATGAACTTCATTAACCAATCCCAAATAAAAAAATATTTATTGAAGGCATTCGTCACTAATTGCAGCAATATCCATATCTGAGTTTTAAATTACTTAATCATTACTTTCGGCTGAAACCATGTAGTTACCTTAATACATGTTCAAGTAGTCTGGCATCAGGTTTCGAATATGAAGAATTTTTAGTCTTTAGCATCTTAGAAGCCGGTTGTTAATGTAGATAACGAATCAAACAATAAAGGCTCTTAACGAGTTAGCACGTATACATAACTTGTTTAATTACAGCCAAATCCAAACAATTAATATTATTTTGGAAAGGTCAATTATTACTCACTTAGAAAGCACTATCACCAATTTTTCACGTACAATGCAATAAATTTCTTGTTTTTAAATTGTATGAAAGATCTTTCCAAACGTAGGCTACAAAGCCAAACATTTTTGTATGCAAAAATATTATATTTTGTATACTTTCTTTGAGAAATTTTTATAACCAAAATACACAACATGAAAGAATATTCAAAAGAGGGGACTCACGCAATTTATTTTATTTTAAGAGATCGCCATATCTTAAAATCAACCCCAAATACAAACCCTTAACATAGTTTCCAACAGCTGTTTCGCCCAATATAGGGTGACTAGTAGCGAGTCATGAGAGAGATAAGCAATTGATAAAAATAATTTTAAAGTCATGACACATATAAATATAAACTACATATATACTTATAATAAAAGTTTTCTTATAATTTCCAAATCATCATTCTCGCTCTTTATAGAAAGCCGGTACCGGTTTACACCCCCTTTTCAAAACCAACACACTTCCACAAAAAGAACAGCGAGAGAGTGAGAGAGAGCTCTCTTAATTCTGTCCGTTACACAGGTAAAAACAAATAACACCTACTAATTAAATCTATTAATTTAACTCTTTTCTAAGTAAATGTTTAATAGTGGAAATTATTAATTGGAAATCTATATTTTAAATAATGTATTTAATATTACTTGGTGTTATTAAATTTGATAAGGTTATATTTGCACTAGGCAAAAATGATATATTTATGTTTCTGATTCGAAGACAATATTAATATACAATTTTAACATTTTTTAATTGGTAACAATGAACTATAACAATTTTTTTGCCTGTGTACTCTCTTCTCGTTCTCGTTCGTGCTCAGTTTTAGAATTCGCGGCAGTTGTTTTTGTTTGTCCGGCGCGTTCGCTCGCTTCACGTATGCGCTTGTCGAAAATCAAGGAAAGGGCGCGGAAACTAAGTTTAATTAAATATTTCGAGTGCCTCGACTAACACAGCAATTAAGCGAATGTGCAAAACGTGAAAGCAGTTGCGAATAAAACGTACTCGTCGCGAAATTAAAAGCTTTTTGGGAGCGTCCTGCGATGGAGAAGCGCGTGAGGAAAAATCAATTCGTAAGTAAATGGGCGACGCGGAAAACGGTGATTTAAAAATCAACTGAAATGAAACGCGTGCGGAATTTACTTGAACGCCAAATCGTTCGCTCAGCAAAAATAGCGTTTTGTGCCAACAGAAAGCGCAATAAATATTATATAAAATTGTGCATATGATGCTCATATGTATGTACATTATACATATAGTGCAAGAAGAACGTGCCTGTGAAGACCAAGTGAAGGCGAACAGTGTGAATAAAAACAAAACAATATGAACGAACAAGTTTAAGTCACTGTTACGGCAAGTAATGTACAAGAATATACATACATATACATATGTATGTATATATTGGTTTCCAACTGGATGGATTGGAATGGAATGGCAACTGAAATTGACTAGAAGGAAGTGGAAGGAAGAATCGCCGTTGATGGCCCTTCTTCCAGTCCGACCTCTCACACTTTCATAGCCCCTGCAGCAAGGATGTTAAATTAAACCCAGTGAAAAGAATTGGGAACAGTTCAAAAAAACCATAACAGCTTCAGATATCAGCTAAGATCTGATGTACCAACAAATATCTTTACAACTGTTCCAAATTTATTAGTGAACTCTTATTTTATGACTGCTTTAAAATATCAAAATTATACAAAATACATAATATAATCTAATAATACATAATTTAAAATATAAAATTAAAAGAAACAAAATAGAATTTATTAAATATAATGTGCTACTTCAGTAGGGTTTGAGTCACTTAAGCCGACACAATCAACTCTAATATGTTATCTGTTCGAGGGTCGTTGTTCTCGATTATTTATAAAAACTCGCCAAACACAAAGGAATATTGTGATAAAGAGGCGAGAAGTGGCTTTCAAATTCGTGGCTTCTTATCCTGTTGGCGTTGTTGTCACTATTAATGCAATGACATTCCCCAAACAGCTGCACTCGGTCTCTCGCTCTCCGGCTCTCTTCAGTTGTTATTTCCGTTATGCCTCCTTGCCATGCACTCCTCCCCTCCCCCACCCCTTTGCATCCGGTGGGTGAATTAGCTGCAGTCGAAACGCATTTACTTTAATTTATTTGTGGTTCCAGTGGGCGTCACTTTCTCTCCCTCTCTTTTTTCTCTCGACAGAGAGCAGCACATGTCATTGTGCTTGCATATGCATTTGCATTTGTATTTGCCGTCTCTGCTCTCTGATTAGCCTCCTGTTGTTATTGTAATTCGCATGCAGATTGCACCTAGTGATTGCCATTCAAATTCGACTGATAGTGGAGCTGGAATTCGCACTATAAGCATACATATGTACATATGTTCTTCCTGGGTCAAGTGGAAATACAGAATTACTTTATCGCCATTACCATATGTAATCAAAATAATGAACTGTCTTTACAGCATATGGAATTTTATAAGAACTATAGCTAGAGCTATGTTTAACATTTCTTTTTTTCAGAAAAGAACTAACAAGTGCATGATGAATAGTACCCCTGCCATCAATTTATAGTTATACCCGTTACTCGTAGTAAATAGATTCGTTTAAAAACAGGCAGAAAGAAGCGTTTCCGACCATATGTATATATATTCTTGATCAGGATCAATAACCGAGACGAACTGGTCATTTCCGACATGTCTGTCTGTATGAACGCCTCGATCTCGTGAGCTACAAAAACTAGAATGTTGAGATTTAGCATGCAGAGACATAGACGCAGCGCAAGTTTGTTTCCAAATGTTGCCACGCACAGTCTAACGCCCACAAAACTGTCACGCCCACACTTTTAAAAAATTGTTAAGTTAATTTTCATTTTACTTAATTTAATTTTACTTTTTACTTAATTTACTTTTTCCCAATATCTACCGATATGGCAGAAAATGTTGAAATTTCTCGTTTGCACTTCCACTAGCTGAGTGACGGGTATATGATAGTCGGGGAACACGACTATAGCATTCTTTCTTGTTTTGTTCATTATGAATGACTCTAAAGCAAACGCTAAATGTTGTTAAAGTGCTCTTTAATCAAATAAACATTATTTTTAAAAGTATTGAATGCGAGTTCAAATAGTCTTTTAATACATCATGCTTGTATTGGGTGTATTTCATCTTAAATGTATACGAATTCGTAGATACGAAAATCTGAATTTGAATAGACCTTGAACCTTTAACCCAGCTGTGCCATGCCTTGCGGGCTATACTATAGAATAGTGTTCAAATGGCCCAAAAAGGTGCCATTATATACCTATACCAATTCAATTATCTACATATCAGCAATGCCTTTTAATCATTTTTTTAATTAATTTTAATTTTTAAATTTATTTATAACTCCTATTCTTATCCATTGCTTTTGTCACTGTCTTTTGAACAACAGATTAACAGATATTGTTAATTGGGACAGAAAGTAATAGTTACTTGAGAACGGTTATAGATAAGCTCTCCATTAGTAGAACATGTTTTAGGGAACAGAATTGTAAAAAGTTTAATTAATGATCTAATCATTTTGTTTTCTTATGGGGTGTGTACTTGTGCTCGTTCGTTATATGAGTCATAGTAATATTTCCACATACACATGAAGTGTGTACGAAGACTTGAAAAACGGATGTCCTGTTTTTTTTTGTTTTTGTGCCTGATAACAATTCAGCAGTGCAGTTCCACTTTGATAAACAGCCGCCTGTATTGTGGCAGTCCCTACTGGGTTGACTATCTGAA